TGGCTTCTAAGGGTTTTGTGCACTGTGACACAGGCCTGAAGGCAGCATAGGACAGACTTGAGCCTGCTCCGGTTAACTGTACTGTGGATCACTGTCTCCTGTATGTACAGCGCTCTCCTGGTCAGGATCACTACACTTCCCCTCCCTCCATCATCTTCAAGTAGTGTCACGTTCAAATAGTGTGTTTTGCCTCCTTGCACATCCCAGAGTAATAATGATCCAGTGCATTTTAGACTTTGAAGCGTGGAAATAAGAAAAAAAGTGTTACTAATATCAAGGTTTTTTGTTTTAAGCATCTCTTTTCTCTGTTTTCTTCATGTCTTTCCTTTTTCAGATAACCTGCTGAAATTAGCACTGTAGAAAGCATGAAACATGTCCCATCTTAGGGCTGAATGCGCTGGCAAACAGCCTTGCACAGAACTCACTGAACTGTTTTGTCAGTGATTTTCACAGTAGTTTTTACATCCTCTCAAATTCTATGATGGGGCAACCTGATGACAGAAGTCAAAGCTGTAAGGCCATAGTGCTTCCTGAAGAGAAACTTCTTTAGGGAGAGAGCTTTTGCTGGGTGGAATGCTTCATCAATTAGTTGAATTCATTGCTGCAGACAACCAAACCCTTTGACTAGGAAGTATTTCAGCTGGAAATTTTGAAATAATACCACTCTTTATTGAAAAAAGTAACCACACTATTGTGACTGATGTCATTACTAGAAACTATACAAGCCAAGATGCCAATCATTTCTCATTTTGCAAGATGCCATTTGCAGTGGAGAGAAGACAAGCAGTGCTTCTATATCCACCTTTCTGCCTCTGCACAGTTGACCTAGGTTGCTAATGGTTTATCCAGGGCTGAATTAAAGAAAAACTTTTGGAAAACATTTCAGACTTGGAAAGGGATAAGAATTTCTGGGCATTTATATTGCTACCCCGCATGAAACTTCACAATTTTAGTTCTGACACAGCAACTCCTTATTGCACTGACACTTTATTTTGTTCCTCTTCAGACTAGAGCATACTCGTCAACTTCGAGATACACAGCTGTACAAGGGACTGCGCACAGAGAAATGATAAGTGGAAGTAATAAATGATACATGACAGGTTGTATGTTTGTTTTCATGCAGTAACATGTTTAATGACTGAGTATTCATTAGCTGACCAACAGTCCTTGGACAGAAGCTAAAAATTTTTTTCCTTAGCAGCTTTCAGGCAGCCCTGGTGCAATTTTAAGGAAGGTGCTCCTCAGCTCCATCTGGAAAGTAGTGCAGTAAGCACACGTCCTTGTCACATTTCCATACTGATTTTATTTACTAAGCTGGCAAAAGACAGGCACAGGAGAGTTAACTAATGTGCTGACACTCTCAGACATGATTCTTGTGGATGTCCCTGGATTACCAAGAGCAACTGCCAGCGAGTGATCAAAACAAATGTTCATGTTGTTCTGAACTCCCTGCAAAAGGAATTCTTGTAGATGCAAGTCTGTTGCTGAAGTTTCTTTCATACTTTTTGGGAAATAACCATATAATGTAGTTAATTTATAGATGGTGTGAGCTGGCTTGCCTTCTGAAATGAAAAATGCTTTTTGCTGCTAAAAGCAGCACTGAAACAAGCTCAAGCAGTTTCTGTAGGTATTTTCAAGCAGAAAAAAAAATCCTAAACAGAGAAGAGTTCCTTTTAGTATGCCCCTTTTTATCTGAGTGCAGGTATGGCAGGAGAAAATGTAAGAATTCACTCGGGAGGCTCCTAAAACCTGGTAGCAGTTATGACTTCATAGAAAAGCTTTTGGATTTTTGTAGCTCTACAGAAGGCAACTAACTGTATACACTGCTATAGCCAGCACAAAAAATGGATTGTATCTAAATGAGAAGAAACATTTATAACCAAGGTGCTAAGTCACCTATACATATATTTCTCCTTAGTCTTACCAGACGTAGTTTTAGACCAAGAATTGGGCTTGGTTAATGCACTTTCTTGTTCCTGTGATTGAATCGGTTGCATATGGTTTTAGTTCCAAAATGATAAATCAGCTGTGTACAGAGAGCTTATAGTTAGGAAACTTACAGGTAATTTATGTCACTTTAAACCGCGATCTAGAGAAATGCATCACTGTGAAACTGAAATCAGCTGAACTACTCTGTGCTTAAAGGTATATATGCTCATTATTTGAGATTTCTATTACAGAATGAGATTTCTATTAAATGTAGAGTAGAATTGAAGCATTAGAGAAAATGTAGTGTTTTGTTGGTAAGTTACTATAGGAAAAAGCTACAGTACTGGCAGAATCTTAGTATAAGCAAATCCTGCCCAAAACAAGAATACAGAACTGAGGGCATTAATTACTAGTACATGACGTGACATTGTTCTTATTTGTTCTTAATCTTCCTCTTTTTTTATCATAAAAGAGAATTTGCAAATGCATCATGTTGCTTGAGCTATTGTATACAAAATATAGCAAGCTTATTGATATTTTACTCAAACTTTAATTCTTCTGTATTTTTAAGTTCTGTATTTTTCACTTATTTGTGATTCAATCCTGATTGAATAAATATTATTATTTGTATCTGGTTTAAGCTTTTTGTGCTCTAGGATTAAAATCTAGATCCAGAAAAGCACCAGTAATTACCCAGTGTATTTTCTTGCCCTGAGAAGACAGAACGAAGAATTTGGATTCAAGGTGGTAATTTGGGCCACTTCCTGACCTCAGGGACTCCTTTTGCTTAATTAATTTGATTTAAGCTTTAACTGTTTTTGTTTGCTATCTATAGTTTACAAAGACAGAACCGATGGACCGAAGGTTAGATTTAGTAACCATTTTAAATACTGATCTTAATGCATTGCTGTGAAGAGTATCAGTTTGGGAGATGTCTCACCATAAAGAACACTGATGTTCAGCTATGTGCTAAAAGAAGACCCCAAATAGTTCAGTAAACTCCACTATGTCATTTTTTAGTTTGAAAGCTGTGAATATGTATTTCATACCAGCTTTAATAGAATGTTTATTTCAGATGGACAAAGAAATTAATTAGCTGTTAAATACTCCTGTGCACCATATCAATTCAGTTCCTCTGTTATTAATTTAGTATATATAAGCATGCTGGAGATTCATTAGCCAAATTGACATTCCTTTCTATTTATTAAGACTTATCACAAATACAAATAACAGTCAAAGGAAATTATAGAGTCCTCAGAAATCTATCAGAGATGTCTACAGTTCATACGGGCTTTGTGATTTATTCTTTTTGTCTTCTTATCTGGTACATTTTCTTCCTGGCCCAGTACTAGATTGCTGAAGTCTTTCATATAAATGCTTTTTTATGGATTATAGACAACAGCCATAAAAAATGTCAGTAACATTTCTGAATTATTTAATAACAAATCGTGTATAGTAATGCAAACTCACTTGTTCAGCTAAGTCAAAACTAGCAACTTATAAAGCACAAGCACTATACAGAGATTGCTGTCAGAAAGTTTAAAAATGTTATAGCTCTTTCTTTAAATTTATAAGGCAATTTAATATTAGGATGAACAGATGGAGCACTATCTTTTCTAGGTCCTTGTAAACTGAAGCTTTCTGTTCTGTTTTGGTCAGAAGACAACTGTATGAACAATAAGGTTGCTCCCTCTCTCCCTGCCTCGCTCTCTTTTAAAATTAAGTAGGATACGTGACTTTGCCTGATAAAATGTGCATTTTTGTCATGTTCTGAGACTGGATATATTCTTTTTATTATTGTTTCAAAGATAATTCATAGAATCATAGAATCAGACGGGTTGGAAAGGACTTCTGAGATCATCAAGTCGAACCCTTGATCCACTACCACCACAGTTGCTAGACCATGGCACTAAGTGCCACGTCCAGTCTCATCTTAAAAACCTCCAGGGACGTAGAATCCACCACTTCCCTGGGCAGCCCATTCCAATGCCTGATTACCCTCTCTGTAAAGAATTAAACCAACTCTGTCTGTGATACTGGAGAAAAAGGTGGTCTTGGATTCATTTTAACTCTGAAAGAATTTCTGCAGAACTGCTGTACAACCAGTTGTTCTCCATCTCCATCCAGAATACATGTAGTTGATAATACAGAGTTAGGTTTGTCCCTACTCAGTTGCATCCTGGCTTTCGGTGGTGTGTTGTTTTTTGGTTGGTTGGTTGGTTGGTTTTTTGGTTGTTTTTATTTTTGTTTGTTTGGGTTTTTTTTTTTGCCTTTTGTTGTTGTTGTTGTTGTTGTTTTACTTCTGGGGGGGATTTTGGATTTTTTTCTGTTGGTTTTTTTTAGGTGTTTTTGTTTGGTTTTTTGTTTTGTTTTGGGTGGGTTTTTTTGATGGGTTGTTTGTTTTGATTTTGTCTTTATAACGCCTGTCCTGATTGTCACAATCCTTCTGAACTCTAATCCTGTTCTCCAGGAATTCTCCAAGCTTTTGAGAAAGGGGAAAAACAAAGATTAACTTGAATTCTTCATGACTGTGTCAGCATAAAATCACAGTGGAAGAAAACATGAACTACAAGAACACAGAAAAAGGTGACACGCATGCTTTGCACACAAGCCAAAAGGCATCTTTACTGATCAGTGCTCTCTCTAAAGAGATGTCTTAAACTTGTCAGTGTCAAATAAAAGAAATTAATTTCCAGAGCTGTAACGAAAACTGCTTGGGACACCTATGATCCTTTAAAATATTTTTTAGAAGAAATTACGCAGTTTTGTCAATCGCTCATTCCGAGTCTCATAAATGCAAGGTGAAAACGGGCTGCATCAGTAAAATCGCCACTGAAACATCAGTAAAATCGCCACTGAAACATAGCTGTTTACACAGTTTATTTTCAAAACGGGGCGTAAGGAATAAGGCGAAAGTCTCCCAGAGAAGCCGAACGCGGGTCCTACGGCACTCCGTGACAGCACACTCGTACCCGCGCCCTCAGCGCTCCGGCGGAAGGGCGGGCGAGCGGCGTCACGGCCACAGCTGCGCACACGGCCCGGCGCCGGGCGGCTCCCTCCCCCTTTCCCTCCCCTTTTCCCTCCTACTCGTCTCCCTTCCCTTGGGTCCCGATGGCGGCCGGTGACACGGGAAGGGCCCAGCAGCAGGTGAGCCGCAGTGGGGGCGAGGGGGGCTGCTGGGAGAGCGGTGGTCTGGGGGATTCTGGTGAGCCCCGGCCCCGGGAGCGGCTCCGCGCCCGCGGTGGCGCGTTCGCACCAAGGCTCCATTCCAGGTGTTTGGTTTCTGTGTGGAAGGAGACTCTCCGGGTTTTTTATGGGAATTTGCCGAGTAGTCGCTCTTCCTCAGGAAGAGCTTAGTGCCGAGCCCTCGGGGGTCTTTCCCCTGCAGGGCTCCGACCCAGCCGGGAGCTGCACGGATAGGGAGCTGCAGGAATGTGTTGTCGCTGCTCCGGGTCACTTTGCTCACCTTGTCACTGCTGAAAATGATTATCCATTGAAATGCAAAAGCTGGTGCGTGCGTGGGAGAACTGAGCAGAAGTTACCTAGAGAATCACAGAATCAGCTGGGTTGTAAAAGACCTCTGAGATCATCGAGATCATCGTCCAACCTGTGACCCAACACCACCATGGCACTGAGTGCCATGTCCAGTCTTTTCTTAAACACCTCCAGCCAGGGACGGTGATACCACCACCTCCCTGGGCAGTCCATTCCAGTGCCTAATCACCCTTTTTGTGAAGAAATTCTTGCTGATGTCCAACCTAAACCTCCCCAGGCGCAACTGTGAATCGGGACTGAATCCCCAATACTTACAGCATTCCAGTAAAGTGAATCTTGTCACATCTGTCAGTATGGTGTAGAAGAGCAAGATTTAAAAAATACTGTGAGTGCAACACAAAGCTGTGGGCTTTGTGGGGGAGTTATTTATTTTTGCATAATGGTTTCAGTTTTTTTCTTCTAGATTGATGAAATTGAAGCCCTTTCATCCATCTATGGTGAAGATTGGTGTGTTGTTGATGAAGATGAAAAAATCTACTGCATTAAGATTAGTGATTGTCTGGATCAACCAAAATGGACCCTCTGTTTGCAGGTACAGTCGTAAAGAGTTTAGCAAAAAATTTGCAGTTGGACTGAGACAGGTGAAAATGTGTGCTGCATGAAACCATTCTAAATACGGTTCATTATTTACTAAGGTGGATTAAGAAGCTTAACTTGGAATCTGTGATAAGACTTCTCAGTGGTTGTTTTCCTGTAACACATAGATGTGCTTGTGATATATTCAGTAGTTACATATCCTAATTCTACACCTGGCAAAAACATTTCAGTGTGCTTCTCCAAAGACTAATTTCTGAAAAATGTTTAACATTGACTTCGTGTAGCGCACCTCAGCGAATCTGCTGCAGTTGCTTCACAAAACAAAATTTGGATCAACTTAATTGAGTAACTCGTTACTTTATGTCTTCAGCACGGAAAGCAATAAGTTTCTTAGTGCAAGAAACACTGACATGTCTACTTATGGAAATGTGGTGCCACATTTAAGTCCAGTAACCATGTGTGCAGCTTCTTTCAAATTTTTTCCATACTTTATTTTGCATCCTTAAAAATGGCACCATGAAATATAATTGTATTGTGTTACCATTATCGGAATTCTAAATACAGCTATTCAGATGTTCTTGCAATTCTATATCAACACACCCAACTGTTTGCTTCATTTGTAACACTAGTTGTAGTTCTGGTGCTCGACATCAGAGTCCTTCAGTAAAGCTCAGCTAGCTGAGAGAAGTAGTCCAATGAATAGTTTTCCTGTATTTCTTTCAGGTGATTTTGCCACCAGGATATCCGACTGAAGAGCCACCCATTTATCAACTCAAGTAGGTGAAATTTTCTTGCAAACATTTGTATTGTCTGAATTACCACTGTTGATTGTTTACCATGTAAGTGGAAGTTTAGTTAAGATGACTCTTCAAATTAAAGTATACAGGGGATGAGGGATGTTTCCAGCAAGAATATTCTTTTCTTTCTCCCAAGTTAACATTACAGAGTTCCCTATGAAAGTTTTCTCTCTTCCCTCAACTCTTAATTCTTGCAGCATCATTTTGTGGTTAGACAGCAGTGACATTGTGGAGTTAAGGTGGCAGCTGCCTGTTGTGTTAGACAGTGATGTGTCATTGGGTGTACCCCTCTTGTCTGGATCCTTGTTTCAGATTGTAAGGAATGCTTTTCAGAGGATGGAGCTGGGGCATGTGCCATCTTCCTTTTTTTTTTTCCTTCTCTTCCTTTCCTTCCTTTCCTTACCTTTGTCTTCTGGCAGGTAAACAAGATGTGAATGGAATGTGTCAGGCCAGGTCCCCAGTTTGGATGATAGAAGCCCTGCAAGGCATGGCACACACATATCTACTGGGTTTTGGTCAGGAGTATTGACAAGGCAATACAAGGTAGTGCTAATAAACTTCAGGCAGAGTTTGAAGTTTAACATGAGACCAGGAGGACAATGGTACAAAACTGAAAGGTCATTCTAGATATAGTAGATACTATGGTGCTGAAGGACTTGGAAGGGTCAAGTAATAATACTTAAGGTGACACTGAAATGACAATGGTCTTCCATGAACAATGAGTCCAGCTTTTTTAACTAAGGTAAGAAAAGGCAGCCCAGGTTAGGTATCTTGAAGGAAAACTGAGTGATTGTGCTATTCCCAAAATGTTTACAGCTGAAATCTTGATGTTTTATATTTTCAAGGTGTTTATCACTTTTATTTTAGGATGTTGGAAGCAGCATATGGCAAAATTTTTATTGTATTTCTTTTCATTTTAGTGCCCCTTGGCTTCGAGGGCAAGATTATACGGAACTAGCAAATAGCTTGGAAGAAATATATCTGTAAGTTCGAGACTGTGGAATATAGTAAAAGGATACACTGTATTTTGAGTTCCATGCCCTGCTCTGTGTATGCTTTTGAAGTACCTGTATTTATTACTATTTATTACTATTACTAGTAGTTATGAAGTGATTGCTGCAATAGACAGAGCAAGTTTCTTTTATCAAGCTAACAGTTAAAGGTGCAGTGTATTCAGTAATCATTTTACAATAACAAATTGTGTTAAACTCTGAGAAATCTCTTTTATGTTGTTTAGACCTGATTTTCTATAAGGATAGAAGCTTTCATTTTGAAACCTGATAGAATAGATGCCCTTTGGAATCTATGAGATTGTTTATTGCTATCAGGTATGAGATTTCTGCATCTATTCTGCATTTGAATGTTAAAGCACAGGATGTGAAAACGTTTGTGTCTTAGAGCACATTTTTTCTTAAAAGCTAAGGGATAATTAGGTTTTAAAACAAACACATGCAGAATCTATTAACTGGAATCTGGATCATCATGGACTGTTTATTATCACAGTGTGCAGCTTACAACAAGGCACAATGAATGCATGAGAATAAACAGAGCATTTAGAAATACTCAAATTATGTATTTTTAAATTGCTGTGAAATTGGGGTAATAAATGTTGGGTTTTTTATGGTTTATTTATTTCTTTCAGATCCCAAATATAATGTAAAATAAATTAAATGAAAATGCATCATAAGGAAGCACAGTCATGCCCCAGATAGTGAAATCTGAACATCTTGTGTAAGAAATGGTTTTTTAATGCCATAAGGAAGGGAGCACTTAGCTTGCATAATGGGTTTTTATCTAATTACTCAGTTACTTTGATTAACTGTGTTTCTTAGCTAATTAAGCAACAGATAATTTAAGCAAGTAAAATTGAATTTGAAGTGTTAAAAATGCACAAGGATTTTAGGCAAAAATTCTATGGGATCATATTCACCACAGTTTTTCAGTGGAGGAAAAAGTGCAGAGGTTGTCCTTAATGCTGTCCAGATTCAAAGGATTTGATGAAGTCTGTACCACAGGTAGAGCTGCTGTAGGTGGTTCTTTAAATGTCCTGAGCATCTGGCACAAGTTGGCATGTGAGGACTGTGAGCATGGATGTGAAAGAGTTCTTTTTCTTTTTTTTTGTTTCCCACCTCTGCAGTCTTGTAGGCTGTTAGAGTGTGCTAGTTCAGTCCCTTGTGGTTCCCTTCTGTCTATATCAGCTGCTATTCAGAGTCCCTGCTGGTCTCTCACTTCTGTTTGTTCAGCAGGAAGTGAATGTTTGTACTTCAGGCCATATATGTCATTTTAGACTGTTTAAAAACCTGGAGTAGTCACTGAGGTTCACAGTATTTGTGAAAGCCTTTTATCTATTCAGTGTCCGAGTGGCTGTTGGATAAACAGATACTCTGCATCATTTGCATGGTGTGTTTTACCAGGTCTTTAGTCCCTAGTGATCTAAGTTGTGGAGTTCTGCAATCTAAACCAGTATGAACTGTACTATTGATCGCTGTGTCTTCTTAAGGACGTGTAAAGAGTGGGTAATAATAGATTACAAGTTTGTTTTGGGAGACAAAAAGTATAGCAAATAACTGTGTTTAACCAGATACTCTTCTGGTAAGATTTTTATTCAACAGAAAACTTTGTTTCGTGACTTAGACACAAGTGACAAAAAAAATAGCAGCATAGAAAGGTAACTTTTCAGAGTAAGTGTAATTTACAACTTCAGAAACTGAAATTAGGTAGTAGCTGGAGAAATTCCTATTTACTTTACAAAACTGAAAAATTTTATTTGTTGTCTAATCTCTCTCATTCCATCACTAAAAAAAAAAAAAAAAAATCTAGGTCTTCAGGTTTTAAGGCAGTGCTTCTTTATGATAAGCAGTGTGAGATCAAGGTGTTGAATTATTCTGGAGTCTGTCCAGATTTTGAAGACAGAGCTACAAGTTTATAAATTCCTTATTTTTGCTTGAATATTTTTTCTTAAAATATGTATGTTTATTTGAATTTGATTGTTTCCAGCAGTAGTGCTGTATACATTAAGCTGTGAGTGAGAGTTTAAAGATGTTATTTTGTCATTTACATGATGCCCAGGTGGTGGCAGTAAGAATAAAATTAATGAGAAATCTTGAGTTACATATGGCCCTAAATCTTTAGTTTTGGTTCAGAGGCAAATGTGCATCGTTCATAAATGTACTAAACTAAAATTGTGAAGACAGCTTTGCAGGACACCATTTGAAATGTATTTTGAGTTGTTTGCTGTACATAAAGGAAGCATTTCTTAATTCCAAATACGCATATATAGAACATGTTCGTTCCATCCTCCCCCAGTACCTTAATACACATCTGTATCCCCTGACTGAAGACTCCTAGACCTAGATCTTTACCTCTCTGTCCTGTAGGTCTGCTTGTTACCCAAAATGTAGTATATCAATCCAGTGTTCCATTGTGTCTGCTGCCACTGACCTCCTGTCACAGTCCACTGAGGTCAACCTCAGCCGTACTGATGAAGAGAGAGTCCCCTACACCTGCAGAGCAGCTGCAGGAGCTCACCACTGGCAGTACAGTGCTTTTTGTAGAGAAAACTGATCCAGGGCAAGCTCTAAGTCTGGGCATTGTAGCTTAGTATTCTTTTGAAAATACTGACTTACTCTTCCCACAGTTGCTTTCCTTTTGCTTAGTGGTCAGAAAGTTTCTGTCATTTTCCTGTTTCCCTCCATCATTTGTGCTTTTAATGTTAATAAATAAGTAAAGCAAGCCACAAAGAGTATGTAACAGCGCAGATACCGCAGATACTGTGTTTTGCCCAGTGAAGTACTGAAACAGAACTTTCCACAAACCTGCCTAAGCTGTTTATCTCACTAGCTTATTATGTTCTATTTCTGTGTGTCTGAAATCTGTATGTTATTTGGCATGCTTTCCAAGTGAAATCTGCAAAAATGATTCTTCATTTTCTGTGGGTTTTTACTTCCAGACAGAACCTTGGTGAAAGTATACTGTATTTATGGGTGGAGAAGATACGAGAAGTTCTGATAGAAAAGGCACAATCTTCAGAGCCAGGTACTTCAGAAAACACCGGGGTTTTCAGTTTATTTTGTGTTGCACTGCAAAGTAAATTTCAGTCCAAGTTAAAGTTTATGTCCAATTTTGTATTGGATCTACATATCAGAAAACAGTCTCAAGTGTCCTGGCTTACTGTTTTATAGTGATAGCTTCCCTTTTTAAAAAGCAGTAGAGAAAAGGATGTGGCCTTTGAACTAGAACACGGTCCTCAGTTCTCTCAGGAATGAAATTACTTGCATGAAAGGACAGTGCTGCACACAGTACATTATGCATTGTCCTCTGTTTTGCAAAGGAATTATTCATATCAGTAATTAATTTATGGTACTGAGTGCACTGTTGGAGGATTGGAATTCAAGAGAAGATAAACTTCCCTGGAATATGCAGACAGATGACCAAATATTCCTTCTTAATTGTATTTTACTGTATTGGGATGAGAAGTACACAATCACTAGAATTGCAGTGATTTTTCTGTTGTTACTCTTACCCAGTTTGTGTAAATTCACAGTTCTTTCAAAAAATGGTGGAGGAGTTTTTGTGCATTAAAATGCTAAGCTGCTATGAAATGTGTGAGTGACGTGTGCATGCACATGTGGCAGAAGGTAAGAGAAGTACTTTTCTGTGTCATGGATGTTAGCTTAGTCCTGGGAGGAATAAAAGACTGAAGAGGAAAATAAATTCTGTTCTCAGTGTTGCTTCATAGTAAGATCTGGTTTTAGTCTTTCAATAAACTGAGCATTTTGTTGCTGCATCAGGGACATTTAAGAAGTTAGTTTTCATTGAGGGGACTGAAGGAGTGGATACTGAGAAGTGAAAATTTTACTGACAGTGTTGGAAGTTTGGGTATTTTGACTGCAACTTTATAGCTTCTACTTATTATATCTAATGATTTTCTAGACCTTTTGAACATGCTTTATCTTGTCTCTAAATCTAAATACCAGAACTCTAGATTTCAGAGAGTTTGAAACTTTGGTTTGCTTTTCTTGCAAAAAAATGTGTAATGATTTCTACTACTTATATTGTAATAGAACCAGATATTAAGAAAACCAGTGAAGAAGTTGATGAAGATGATGGAGAAGATTTTCTCCTAGACTATGAGCCCATTCAGGAAGATCCAATTAAAATGTTAAATTACATGACATCTGAAAGTCAGGAAGGTAAAAAGTATGCTCATGTTAATTCTGTTGAAATAATCTAGGAGAGGCTTGAAGATTCTGCTATTCTACTCAGCTTTAGAGAAAAATTAGTAACAATAAAATCGTAATAAAGTTTGATAACAGTCATTAAATAACCCAGCATATTTTTACTTGTTCTGTTTGTCATGTTGTGTACGTCATTTTAACAAATCCCTTTCTAAAACTCGAGACATTTTTTACTTACATAGCTGTATACATTGGTTTTGTACTCCTGAAAGAAAACAAACACTTCCTTGTTTGTGATCAATAGATGAAGAACTGCCACCCATACATCACGGAAACCCAATCACAGATCGAAGGAGTACTTTCCAGGCACATCTGGCTCCAGTGGTGACAACCAGACAAGTTAGTAGAAATCAGTTCTTCTCCTTTTGCCTGTATTTTGAGCTTGACAAAATATTACTGGAAGACTTTGAATTTGCCAGGTATGTTTGTCTGTCTGTCTGTCTGTCTCTGCATCTTTGTGTGCTAACATTGTCTGAGTAGTCACCAGTTTCTTGCTTTCAGCTGAATATCTCTAAATAACAGCTCTGCAGTGCTTCCTGCTATTCTTTACCATTATGTTCATTAGATGTAAGAGAATAAGAACATTGTAATTTGACTTCTAGGTGTGGCAAGTTTATCGTAAAATATTTGGAAGCTCCCGAGTCTATCATGTGTTAATTGGAAGATTAATTAACATGAATTTATAAATGTTTTCCATCCCTCAGAAAGCAATTCTATTCAAAAACACACTTGGATAATGCATAAGTAAATCTTTATCGAGACCTATTTGAGAGGATTTTTGAGTTACTTTGTACATCACTTTGCACATCACTTTGCATCTATTGTCATCAGCCTCCTTTGATCATCCCTGTTCAGTGGGGAAGCTACTCCTCTTTTCTTATTATGAACTGAGAGTTAAACCTTGAGAAGATTTTTCTCTTCCTTTTTATCCAATTTTAGGTTTTATTTTAAGGATTTTTGGTAAGGCATATTGTCAAATGCTTTTTGGAAATTCCAGGTAAGCTAAGTCTACTACATGGTCAGTGACTGCAAGAATGGTGACAGGGTATTGAGTTATATTTCTCTATACAAAAGGTGTAACTTTTTAATCTGTCTGTGGTGGTTTTTTGTTGTTTTTAATTCTCTCCTTAATTTGCCCAGTATGGATATAAGATTGGGTCTTTAAATCCCTGTATCTTCCTGGAGCACTTCGGCCTTTCAAGTTCACATACACTGTACATTCATTTAGATTTTTGTGCTACAGCTGTATCTGCTTTAAGTGATTATTTTATATGTAATATATGTTTGAACTCAAAGAGTTGCTTTAGAAAAGGAGGAAATCAGAATAAGTGGGTTAATGTAATTTTTTCAATTTAAAATACACTTACTCTTTTATAATGATTTATGAGTAAAATTGTTCCTACACATGAGGAAGTCTGTACCCACGGACAGTGGTTTGTGAAAGGATAGATCTGTGTCAAGGAGTAGGACTCTCTTAAAGCAGATTAGTGAGTTGCCTTTTGCATACAAAGATGTTCTTAATTGACATTCTTCTTTCATGACTTTTTTTTTTTTTTTAAAAGACAACAAATACTCAATAAACCCAGGAATTTCCAGTGAAGGCTTATTGGTATATAGTTAGTATAAAGATAGAGCAATTCCCCAAAGTGTCAAATCCATCTTGTTTCACAAGAGTCTTGCTGTGTCAGGTGATTGGTCTTCAGATTGCAGGGAAGCTTTACTGTGGTATGGACTAATTTTTCTGAAAGAAAGTCAAAATTTATGAGGAATGGAGTAACTGCTACAGCTGTAGTGAAAGCTGGCTTCTTTATCAACTTTATCTGGATAATCTGTGTGATGCAGTGATGCTCATCAATATTTTGAGATAGTGTGCAGAGTACAGTGTGAACTCCTTCACTGAATGGGACTAAGAACTGATTTATTTTTTAAACATCTTGTGTCTTTTATGAGCATGTGCCTCACTGACACATTCTGATGTAGAGAATCACATCCCTTATTTCCCTAAAGCAGGAATAGTAGAGGGGAACAGGAGGAAAAGAAATGCTCAGGAGCTACATCAGGGAAAAGGATAAATTGTTGCTTAGGCTTAAGATGTCTGTCTTCGAGGTTCATTGCTAATACAGGCACATAAGGAATCTTTAAAATATATTTTTAGGAACCTGGTAGCTGGCAAATAAGTAATGTCAAAGGTGATGATCATTTCATATGATTTGTACCCTAAGTCTGTGAATTGTCCACGTTTATGAGAGTGTATTAATATAAGTTGTCTTTCTTAAATATTTAAAATAAGGAGAAGACAGGTGTCTGAGAAAATGTTCTTTACTATTAATAGCAGTTTTTTCATGGAGGCATCTTTTATTTGAGGTGATCTTTGTCAGTTGAATTTCTTCAAGAAAAATTGGAAATAGCACAGTACAGCTAAGACATCAAATATGGCTGTTGATTACACCTCAGAGACATTTTTTCCTTGCAATGAAAGGCAATTTACTTGCTAGGTGTGTTTTCCCAAACTTCCTCAACTTCAGTAATGTTTTGCATTATACTAAAACGATGCCTTAATCATAAGCTCTCCTTTTTGCTAGACCATTGGAAAGACTTGAACAATTGCTAGCTTGTTAAATTAGAAGCGTAAGATAGACTTATATTGATTAATGTTTTGAATTTGGTACTTCTTAAGAGCAGAAAAATGGACATGATGGGAATATTTCCTGGGAAATACTGACACTTTCAGACCCCTAATAGAACCTTTTCTTTTTTTGTTGTTCTTTCTGTGAAATGGGAACTCTGAAAAAACCCCACGTTTGGGGAAAAACTCAAAGTGAAATATAGTAAGGTTTTCTAAACATCACATTTTTGGTGAAATAAGTAAAAGCAGTGTGTAGTGGTATATTCGAGTTGTGTTCTATTCCAGCTTAATCTTATAGTTGGAAAAATAATCAGGTTAATTACTCATACATAATACTGATTAAAAATATTTTCTGAAATTTACTGTCTTTCCTGTTTAGTAAATCAGTATGACACTTCTATATCTTCATCAATAACATGAATGTATACAATGTACAAATTCAAGGAGCATCTGTTTTCAGCATCCCAGAAAAATGATTAGAAACAAACATGAGGGTACTGAGAAGCAGCCTCTTGAGTTAACACACTGAACATATAATTCATTTTATGTCAAAACGTAAAATTGTTTCGTATATGTACTAAGAAGGAGATGTTTGCTTTGCAGTGATATTGAGATGTGTATATGAAATCCCTGTTACTAAAGGAAGGGTTTTTCCGTTTTTTTAAAGGTAAAAAGAGTTCTTGAAAAATTATATGAGAACAAGAAGATTGCAAGTGCTACTCACAACATATATGCATACCGGTGAGATGCAAATAGTGATTTTTTCTCTTTATTTTTTTTTTAAGCGTTCTTTGACAAATGAGTGCAGGGCATGAGAAAGAAATTCATTCCTATTAAATCCTTAAGGGAATAGGCTTCTTACTTGAATGGTATTGCAGGCTTTACTTTGAGGTCAAGGAAGTAGAACATACGGTAGGAAATAAGATAGTAAAGCAGCATTAAAAATAGAAGAAAAAAAGTGGATTTGAACATGTGTTGGTATACTTTGTATAGTATGTGTGAGCGTGGAAATGCTGCATCATCCTGAACTAAATGTGTTTTTACTCGGGTGAAGTAACTTTTTTTTCCCCCCAACCTTATATTTAGAAATAGGTGAAAATGTTCAGTTGAAATAAGACTCGAAACAGAAAGCCTGATGCAGACATTTGGCATATGAAGTTTCAGCTGAAATACAAGAAACTTCAGGGAAAATGAGAAACAGGTAAAAATTAATTTGGCAGTTGCCTCTGGCAACTTTTGTAAACACAACTTATGTGAAATCAATTGGTCTCAGTCCAGATAGCAATGCAGGTTTTCTGAGGAATGTAAGTGACAGTAAAAGGGAACCCTTTCCTTACTGGAGGAACCAGTCATCTGAAAAAGCAGTATAGATGCTGATCCATTCATGCCAATCCTGGTGTGATCCTAATGAAACATGAAATGAGAGCAAGTGAAAGCTTATTTTACCAAAAAGTAAAAGTAAGTAAAGGGTTTCTGTAAAGAGGGGGTTTTTGTTGTTGCAGATGATGATCTGGCTTCTTTCACTCGAAGTATCCACATACACTTCAAAAAAGCAACAGACACATACTTACTGCTTCCTATTTGTCATCTAGTACTGGAAGCCTCTTTCTCATTGTGTCACCTGTGTATTAGTAAGTTCAGAAGTTATAAAATCAGTTGGTAACAAACAGTAGACCTCTGTGCATTACTTCTGGAAAATTAGACCAGCTGTCCTTTGTATGAAGCAATATATCTAAAAGTTTCCTGGAGTGCCCCCTGAGAAAGAAGATGACATGGAGAATCTGAAGATGAATTTCAGGAATAGTTTCATGTTGCTGCTGAAAGACAGGCCTAACTAATTATTCGTGATGTTTTTGTCCAAGTTCTTACCACTTATGGGTTTGTACCATAATTTGAACCTGTATCTGATATAGTTGGCTTCAGCTAGGTGTAATTATTAGGCTAAAAACCGAAGGATTTTCCTTTGTAGGGACTTTATACTGGTAATGACTATGGAGTTAACCTGAAGTAGCTAAAGTCTGTGTAAAAGCTTCTCAAAACTTGTTCTACAGTACAGATAAATATTTGTGGTTTACCTTAAGCCTCATCCTGTTTTCATGTAAATGTTGTTAGTAGAGAATTATAATTGATACATATATGTATGAAAAATCTCTGAGACTTTATTAATCATGTAAAGATGTTAGTTGATTGACTTTTTTTTAATCTATTTTGTTTGTTTTTTTTCCAAGAATATACTGTGAAGATAAGCAGACTTTCTTACAGGATTGTGAAGATGATGGAGAGACAGCAGCAGGTGGACGTCTTCTTCATCTCATGCAGGTTCTAGAAATTAATCTTTGACTTCTAGAAATCTTGAACAGATTTTAAAAATCACTACAATGTAAATAAGCTTGTAGAAAATTATTTTAATTCCTGCTCTGCTGCAGTCAAACAGATGTTTGCTTTTTTAAAGGTGAAGGGAAAAACACAGACTGGAGTTTTTTTCAAGTCTCAGATTATAGAACGAGTGGTGTTTCATAGGTGGTAGTAATAGTTTGAATGGGTTAAGAGATAATTAAGTTTTGATTCCTATGCATACCATGTGGTGTAAGGTATATAGAAAATGAAGACTGGAAGAAGCTGATGCTGTTTCCTCGAGTATGCATAATAGAAAGACATATATATGAACTTGCACAGTAGAACTTCAAGAACAAAAGGTAGCGGGAGTGAAGCAGTTAAGTTGTTTTGATAATTTAGTCTGTTTTGTTATGCTGTTTCTGGTTCTGTGTCCTTAACTCTCATACTTGTTTATATTTTAGTTTTCATCTTTTGAAATAATATTCCCTCACCAAAGGTGCTACTGAATGTGACTTGAGATTGATAAATTTTGGTTCATGATGCCAGCCCTAGTAGAACTATAAATAAAATATCATAAACTACAGAGGTTGTCTGGGTACATCTTAATGATGTGCCTCAAGGCACTTAGCAGTATGAGCAGATAAAATATTGGTTTTGATTTTTATTTTTTGATTGATGTCACCTTCACAACAGTTTTGTTTTCCCATGCTTTTCTTGCTTGAATATTTTGTTGCTTAGTGTGTTATGCTCTTATTCCTGGAGACTTTTTTTCCCCCAAAAATTTTTTTTTTCTGAAAAAAATACAATTGATGGAAGTATTTTGACATTTTTAATTTAGAACTTTTTCAACCTTCTAAGTAACTCAAACCAGACTTGGGAAGGAAAACTTTGGTTGCACAATATATGCAGGTATATGTGCTAAGAGTGAAAACATTGTTATGAAAATAATGTAAAGAAAGAATTTGGCAGTTACTGTACCTCAGTTTGTTCTGATCTTATCAACTTGTTCTCAGCTTGGTTATATATACTTTTGAAAGCTGTCAGATTTAGTGTCTAAGCACTTAATATTCCATAAAAATGCAGTTTAGAAAGTGACATGAAGTATCTCCTTTCAAATGTGAATATATCTAAATTATATGGATGATCTCTCTCCATCTGTAGTCCTAGTTACTGGAATATTTTAGTTTTGGAAGAATACTAAGGTAGGGATCAGAAAAGAGCAATTTTCAGCCATAGAAAAAGACTAAAATAGTTTATGGGCTGATTTATAGATGTTCATAGATCTCGTAGTTTTTTTGTTATGAGCTCTTATGATGTATGATATGGGTATGAAGATTAGGTGATTTAAAACATTTATTGTTTCTGTACTTGTAGCTCTTTTTTTTTGCAATAGAAATCTAATCCTATTTCAGATAAACCTAGCATTTAAGACAGCTCCTTTTGATTACAAAAAACTGTATTTTAGATTAGTACCATCCTGTTTACTGTGAACAGTTCCTATAAATAGACTTTATGGCTGATACCTAAAGGAAGAGTAGAAAATGCCTGTCACAGCACATGCCACAATCCTTTTTTCTTTTTTTTCATTATCCTTTTCATTTTAAAATTCTAAGAATATTTCTGTTTTCACAATGATAGACTCTTGTAATAGTATTGTTCAAATTAGTGAAATATCTATTTTTTTCTCCTTAATGAAGACGATTAATGGTTGTTAGCATGCACATACTAACAGTACTAGCTACATTTTGGTATCCATATGAATAATGCCTGTGCCCTGACTGTTATGAACCTCATCCATCAACACTTCCAAAAATGTGGATAGACAATTTGCTTAATAATAGGGGTTCTCTGGAAATAATAATTGGTCATATCAAACAATAAGAAATGTAACTCAGTAATTTTCCCTTTAACACCTGAAGCTTTTGGCACATGGATGAGCAATGGTAGTGCATGAGATAGCTTTGTGCCCTTTCTGAGGGATACATGGACTCATTTTACTTTTGCATTTAACTTTGGATAGGAGCTTGGAGAGGGAAGCTTAAGCACAACTGCTGGCTTGTCATTCTTTGTTACTCTCTGATAACCTATGTGGGCCACAGACCTGACTGTAAGGCCTTCATAAAAATGCAAGATAGTAAACTTTTTTTATGTTGTTTAAAATTGGCGCCAACAGTAAAACTCGTTTGATTAAAAAAGAACAACTTTTGTTTCTTTCTGTTATTCACAGATTTTGAATGTCCACAACGTGTTAGTTGTGGTATCCCGCTGGTATGGAGGTATTCTCTTAGGACCAGATCGTTTCAAACATATAAACAATTGTGCAAGAAACGTACTTGTGGAATATGACTATGTGCCTTCAGTGGTAAGTTTCTGCCCCTTAGAAGGGCGTTTGCATGTGAACTTGTGTGAATTTTCCCTGTTAGGTGAAGCCAGAAGAAAAGTAATACAACCTGTATCATCCTTGGGTTGCTTTGATGCACTAACAGGATCAGTGCAGAGAACTTCCAAGGAAGCTAGTGACCTGTTTTGTAAGCATGAGGTGTGCAGCAGAAGGGTAGAAGCAGTTGAGAACATTGATCAAAACACAAATTTGAGAGCTGGGGGAGGATGATAAAGGGAAATGCCTCTTTCTGTGTTCAGAAAACTGGAAGCTGCCACTTCTAATGCTTCCCTGTGCCACCAGTTCTAGTCTGCAGGCAGACTGAGCTTGAGAATATCTGTAACGAGTAGGCATTTTCAAAATGGAAAGCTTTGTTAGACTCAAAGAAGTTTTCAGAATTATAGATGATAGACACCATTAAAAAAACATCCAGACTAGAAGAATTCAAGTGAAGTAACATTACTGGTACAGAAAAAATTATGGTAAAATGTTCCAAGGGAGCTTAAATAACTCAGGAGACAAAGTTCCAAATGACTTTGAATGGCATTTTACTTGTTAAAGGACTCAGGTCATTTAATAATCTCACATTCTTGTTTCTCAACATTTTTTCATCCTCAGTATCAACACTTCTTCATCCTCAGAAGACCATATTACATATATCTATGTGCATTATAGTATGTAATTGCTAACGACAGAGAGTTTTAGATAGTAGGAAATAATTACTAATGGATAGTTGAAAAAGTATGCAGCTGTCAGGGTTTTTTTTCTATATGAAAGTATTTCAGGTAGCTATGGCTGAAGTCTGAGCATTCTTTGGCATTTCTCCCCCTCCACTTTTCAGTTATTTGCTTTTTCCATTTTAAACATGCTTGTATATACTTGGTGATTCATGTTCTTGACAGTTTATCAGTGTTTTCTTTGAAAACATTGCACATAAAATAAAAGGAAATTAATTATTTTTAAGTATTTACCCTCATGAGAAGGTTTAGTACCAAAAAAATACCTACTTTTTCTATTTTTAACAACTTAAAACAGACTGGGTTTTTTTTACTGTGTTTTAACAAACATATTTGGTTACCAGTGTCCATTGGAAAAATAACAGATGGAACTTAGGGTAATGATTATTCTAGTGCCATGGATGTGGCTCTTGGAGAAAGTATTCTTTTAGCTAACTCTCTTCAGAATATCAGAGTTCAAACAACCTGTTTGAGTCCATTTCCCGTGTGTGAGCAATAGAAAGGAATAGATTAAAATGTCTTGTGTTCTTGTCAGATGTAGTGTCAGATTCCTTCACCATTTTGGGGAGTGCTTGCAATGAATGCCTACCAAAGAAAAGTCTTGCTTTTCAGAATTGGCAGTCAGAGTAAACTGTATATTACAGTGTTGATCCAGCAAGATTGGCCAAATTTTGTTTTTCCCGCTGTAGGTTTATTTCACTTAGGGAAGCAAAGCAGTTTTAATGTCCTGCTGTATCTTGTGATGAGGCCACATCCACACTAAGAGGAGTTCTGCAGTATAGTGCTATAGAATTATTTCTATACTGGTAACTTCTTCCCTGAGTGGAAATGGCTGAGATTATTTTTATATTATATTCTGCTGGCGTAGCTACGTCTATAATTTTATCATTGCTGAAGGCAGAAATTTCTAAATAGCAAGACTGAATGGATAAATATTATACAACTCAAAATTTTCATGAATCCCAGTGAACTATGAACACTGTTCATAATAAAAATAATTCTCAATGGTTACCTTGAGAGAATAGTTGTGTTTGCAAGAATATTGTTTAAATTTTGAAATATTTGTTTTTCATTTCAGGAAGAATCATCTAGACAAGCAGGAAAGAGCAAAAAGATAAGGAAGGACAACAAGAAGAGAACAGAACACTAATTTATTTTTTAAAAACTTTAAAATATTACTTTGCACATATTTCTACAAAGAAAACCTGGACCTTAATGCCTTATCTGGTACAACAGATATGTTGTATTCAGAAGAGAATTCAGTAAAGATATAGATATATTTTCATCTTGTTTTGTGATTTTTTTTTCTGCTGTTCTGAATTAGAGCTTAGACACAACTGCTCTGTTTCTTATACATTTCAGCTCCTTTTTATGAGGACATTACAGCATCTGGGACCATTACCCCATCCCACCCCCTCCCAACAAACAACAGCAGACTAATTACTAATGTGGATTTCTCATCTTCTTCATTCCTGGATTCAAATTCAAATATCTTGTCTTGTATTAGTAATTGAATTCTCTAGTTTTTTGTATTAAGGCTGAGACTAGAGTCGTTTGTACACCAGGTTACTTTCTAAGTTTCAGATTTTCTTCTGTGAAAGGAATGCATGTGGCCGAGTGCTGCATGGCCTTGGAGAGCCTGGCCCTGCCTGTGCAGTTCTCAGTCAGATGCTAGATAGGGCCTGCTTGGTGACATAAGAAAGGCTAAACATGGGCAATAAACTAAGAAATGTGATGAAATTACTAAAAATTTCTTTGAGGATTGTTCTGAGACAATCGGGACTCTGGGAGCCTGTTGAAAAGCTGAGAATTAAGTGTTGCATAATTAAAGGAACCAGTGGTTTTGACAAAGTAAATGGGGATTTTGAAATAGGACTGTTACATCTAGTAATGAAGATATAAACATTTTGAGCACTTGTGTTGGTGTAGAGTGGGGAAAAAAAGCAAGTGTTATTGATATGATCACAAAGACTTGAATTTTCTAGTCTTTTATTAATGGCTTTCAGGCTTTAATGCATTTTAAAAAAAACAAAACAAACCCACCAGGATGTTTTGTCAGTTAATTGTCATATTTCTATTTAGATGAGATGAAATTTTTTTTTAATGTACCCGTGATATCTTCCACTTGGAGAGGGTAGATTTTAATGTTCTGTTGGGTTTTTTGTTTTTGTTTTCTCAAGTTATTTCCTAAACTTTCTGACCTCTTAGTCAGAGGTACTTCCTTAGGTTAGGTGCACCTTATGTATTTTGCTCATATGTCAGGTCCGTGACTATTTTTAATGACTTTTCTCCAGTGGCACTTACATAGTTTAAAGGTGTAATTGTAAGACTGTCTTACTCGACCACCAGTTTGGTATATAACTTTTTGCTGATAGCTTCTTACACTGGATTGTTCATTATAATTCTCCAGCACAGGTACCCCAGAAAACCTTTCTCTCAAAGCAGACTTCATCTAATCAAAGTATCTCTTTCAGAGTTTGATAGAGCAACTGAGATTAGCAATTCCAGTAACTTAAAAAATGCCACCAAAATACATGATTAAAAAACAAAACAAACATGCTGATTCCTGCATTGATTTATTAAAACAGTTTTGCGAAGTTACACTGACTTGTTTGCATAGCAAAGGTCTTTTGAGTTCAACCTTAGCATTTGTACTTGTGATACTAAAAATGTCTTTCTTCTCAGGAAAGGAGATTCACACTGTGTGCGTGTTTTACTTTTTTGGTCATACAAGTATTTCTTGTTCATAGTTTGTCTTATAGATTGACTCTTTTAAAGTAAAAATTTTGACATTCACTTCAAGTACTTTATTGACTTATGTATTGCAGAGTTTCTATTGCTTTTCTGAGAGTTTTGAGATTGTAGTAATTGTATTTCTGTTTGCAAGCATTTCATAAGTTTAAACTTCTTTATTCTAAGAGGAAGATCCAACAAGGGAAGGAGGTTACAAAAATGGCTGGCAGCAACTCTTAACTTTATAAATTCTGTTTGAAAATTAAAAATAATGTTAAACCAAAGCAGCAGTTTTTGACCGTTTTTGTTATCAAATATTGTGAATTTGTTTAAGACATAGTCCCTACTTGTGGAAGAGTAACAAATTTCATTATCTGTCAAAAAGAAGAAAAGGAGTATGGAATTAATTTATACCTAAAGTACAGTTGCCTGTCATAAAAATATGTCAATGAAGTATCAAACACTAGCAGGAAAAGGTGGATTGTGGCTTTTATTTTGTCTTTTTGGCCACTCGGTTGTCTAATCTCTTTATGTTACTGTTTTTGCTTTGCTATTCTGGAAGTGAATTGGGAGTATGGATGAAAACAGATTAGCCATTACTACCGACAAGGTAGCATCAGAATGATTTATTTTTCTTCGTGTCTCAAACTTCAGTGACCAGACCAAGACTTTGTATCTGCTCTCTGATTGGGCTATTTTGTTAGGCAAGTACCTTCTGAAGAACTGGTAGGTGGTTTCTCTTTCAAACAGAGACTGTTTGAAAGCCTTAATTAATTCAAGAAGAATTAGAAGAGCCTTAATTAATTCAAGACAGTTGAGCAGTGGAGCAGAACTGTTATTCTTACAAGCTTACAAGTGGTTCTGAGACTTAACAGTTCTTATAAATGTCCTACATGTATCGGAGATCTTCCATGCTGAAATATGAAAAGGTGAGGTTTTTAAAATCTACTACCCTTAACTTTTAAAAGTGAAGATGATTGTTTTAGTGCAGCATAGCAATTCTGGACTGTTTGTAATTTCTTGATACTGTAGGTAATTCAGAGTGGTGCTTCTACTGTTTTATATGTGTTCTTTTTTAATGTGGGAGAAAGAAGAAAAGAGAAAAAGAACATTTACTGTGGATCCTTTTCGTGTGTTCACCTGTGGTATGCATTTATTGCCTAACACGTCTGTTTAATAAAAAAATGAAAATCAGCTGTTTATTAGCTACTTTAGATATTTTTCTGTGTAGACCTGTGTTCTATACTGATTTAATCATAGTTATAGCCACACAATAATTCTTCTAAAAGCTCATTTAGTGGATCCACAGTTAAGCATATTTGTAGACTACTTGCTACACACAGGCTTTCCAAGCATAGTGTGGAAGAACTGGATATTTAAGATTTCAAGAAACCAAGTTAAATCTAAGTTAACTCCAAGAAGAAATGTTGAGGGATGGAGATGGAAAAGAATTAGGTAGCTATATATGCTTAGAAAGCACCTCAAGATTTAAGCCATTTGGCAAGGTCAGTTGGTTCTCATGAAAAACAGTGAAGCTGCTGAGTTTACTCTTGAGGCTTCAGTATGGCTAGCAGAAGAAAGGCTAGTGATATTACTAAGCAGTCATGCCATAGTGTGTTTTCTGCATTACCTGGAAATGAAATAAAGCTTAAAGCAATAATGGACTTGCATGGTGGGAAGATATTTGCATGGATAATAAAGTTCTGCATTTTTTGTACTGCAGCCATCCAAACATTTAGTAAAAGCACTTGGCAAATGCTAATGAATTTGTTCCCACAACAGAAGCAAAGACATGACAGCCAGCATTTTTCAAATTTAAGTGTCTAAAATTAGACACCAAAGTGTTTTTAGAACCCATAATAAAAGTGATTGAATTTTTACAACTGTGGAATACTCACAACTCTCTGCAAGTAGCTTCATTACTCATACAAACTATAAGCATTTGTGGAAGACACACGATTTTTCCCACCAGCGTGGGGAAAAAAAGCCTCATCCTGTTAACTGCCAAACTCTCGTTCATGTTCAGGGCATTGATATTTTAGTTCCTCGGTTCTGGTGCAGCAGCTGATATTGTGTCACCGGGGTTGATGCTCAGAGTTTTGAAAGTGATTCAGTGGAAGTTTTGCAGGGTTGGACCATTACTGGTTAACTGGTAAGTAATTCTATATATGGTTATTTACATCATATCAGTTTTCAGCCCTAGAGTCCACAAAAAGAAGAACAATGAAGTCAAGCATGTCTTCGGTCACCAAAAAGATACAACAGAGAGGAACCACAGACTTGCTGAATTGCAATGACACCAGATAAGCAAGGATGAAATTAGAAAATAGCTTAAATTCTCATTAAGATATGTACACAGGATTGAGAAAAAAATTCAGAAAAAATTGTCCATAATGCTAACAAGCAAAACACTTCTGGGAGGGAGGGAGGAAGGGAGGGAGGAAAGCAAGAGAGAACCTCAAATCAACCATCCTGACCTCCACAGATAAGAATCAGGTTGCTTAAAGAAGAACTTGCATTTTAAAATACGAGCTTGAAAAAAACCCATCTTTCTTAACCAGTTACTCTTCCAGAATTATATGGTTTAAAATATCTTAAGAAAATTAGATTTATCTAGCATCAAAAGCTTTTACTTTTTTCCTGTCCTGAGACAATTTTGGTTTTGATGTTTATTGGATTTTTGACCCATCTTGTTTTAGCTCCTTGTGAATCCCAACCTTTTGGATAACTCTGCCAGATACAACTTTCTTCCCAGGCTGAACTGACCGGGATACACAACATGCACAACAGCACTGCCGGAACTCTGCATGTGGCTGCAGTGTGTAATGAGACTCGGCCCGCCCAGTCACCGAGCTCTGAGTTTTCCCTGGGCGTGTTGGTGCTGCTGGCTTTCCTCATGGTGTTGCTATGTCTGGTCACCATCCTTGGAAACATCCTGGTCATCCTTGCTTTCATCCTGGACAGAAACCTCAGGCATCGGAGTAACTATTTCTTTCTCAATCTTGCTGTTTCTGACTTTGCAGTGGGTAAGTCACAGTGGTGGAGGCCTGTGCTAATTGTGTCCTGGGAATCTTAGGAGAAGCACTGGGTTTTGTTTTCTGTGTGGTTTCTTCTAAGATAACTATTTCCCAAATGTTTGTAGGGGAAGGGAAAGAATTGGTGGAAGTTGCATGGTGTATTTTAGCCTATGATTTTTCAGAAAAAAATGGATGCTTTGTCAGGTAAACAGGTAATGTTTAATGTTACTGCTTCAGGATAAAATATTACTGTGTGTGAATTTTACAGAATAACAAATAATGGAAGTTGTTTATGAAGAGTTTTGATGGAAGTTTAGATAGTCCAATTACAGCATGTATTGCCTGGCAGATATTCCATACCTGGTCGATATCTTCTGTTTCAGTCTGGTGTCACTCAATACAGATAATCACCTGACGTTTGTGATTAAATAGTGATGAATAGTATTTTTAAACATTTTGCTATACATGCTCTATCTAGAGCAATACCTTAGGAATATGTGTTTGTATAGGTAAATAAAAATAACAGTTACTAAGAAGTTTGATTTTACATGTATATATTTGTAAATAGGGACACATTTAATTTTGAACGTGTACTGAGAAAAAGTACAATTAAGACACAAATGTGATATGTAGTTGAAGATTGATGTATTGCAATATTCTGTGAAGTGTTGAGTGTCTTTGCTAAAAGTCTTATTGGGTGTGTAGAAGGATGTTTTTGAACAGTTGTGGCTATTTCATGAAATCCATATTCTGACTTGTCATATCACAAAAAAATATTTTTAAACTGTTTTTATTCTACTATTTTTTAACCACACATTTAAAAAGAATGCTGAAAGAAAAGAAAAAACTCTACTTAAAATTTATTGCTAGTATCAGAAGTTCTGTTAGGGGCACAGATTCTAATAGTCCTGTCCTTGTGATGTCCAGATCTCATATGCTTCCCCCATATGCTTGATTTCTTCTTCCAGCTTACATCTGCTTTGTTGTGCCACAGAGCTCTTGTTGTCTGCTGTGCAGTTGCATTATACAGGAAAAAAGCACCACAGTCAGCAGAAAAAAACCCCAAACTCTCAGTGGATAAAAGTGGTGTTCTGTCATCTGGTTCACAATGTAGCACCACAGTGTACAAATACTAGCATCTAGCTGGGAAGTATGAAGTAAATAATGTACTCTGTCAAAGAAGGAAGTAGAGCTTACTTGGCATTACCTAATTTCTATAAGTTTTTGTTTCTGATATTATGTTTACCAGAATGTCTAGTTTTTAGTTCTAAATTTGGTTAAAAGCTTTGCCTACATTAGAGTCAAACTTGTTTGTATTTCCATAGCTACATAATTTAGATTTGAGATATACCTAAATTATTCTTACTTTCTGCATGATCCTAATTGCTGAAAGCTTGCAGTCATTTGCTTATTCTTTGAACGTATCTAATCTATCTGATTTTGGCATTCAGCAACTTTTACTTTACCTCTGTGCTTCTGGACCTATAGCTGGATTTGAATAGTAATCTCTTGATTCTTAGTAGAGAGAGAATAACAGGAATTCTGTTATTTTTATGGAAATGGAGACTCTCAAGATACTCTTCAATACCTGTTACAGGAGTACACACTATTATGTAGTAAATCTAAAGTTGAAATCACAGCTTTTCTCCCCCCTTGAATGGTAAAATCTATAATATGGCATTTTGCTTGAAAGAGCAAGCATTAGTTGCTCTATGGATGCAGTGATTCCATTCCATTGCAGCATTCATGCTGTTCACTGCATTTCTGCATCCTAGCAAACTCCACCACTAGCTCTTCAGCCTCCCAAGGCTGCATTGTGTCTCTGTGTAGGGTGATCACCTCGAAATTCGTTAAAATAAGGTAATATTGTCACTTTCACAACATTTGTATTTAACAGCCTAAATTTAGATAGCCATGGGTACGGGTGGGTCACTCATGTATGGTCCCATGTCTTGGTGTGTTCCCATAGATAATGCCCTATCAGCTCACCACTGAAAAGTGTTTATGATCAGGAATTATGATGAAAAGAAATGTTATGCTGGGTGTGTTTAATTAACTGTGCAGTTTTTGTCAGCCTTCTGATTGTATAGTTTTAAAAATTAGTCTGAAACTCAGATTGCTATAAAAAGTTACTTCTGGAACACTTTTGGACACCGTATCACGCTTCTAAGAGGATAGAAGCATGGCAGTTGGATAATTTATTGTAGAAAGCAGTTAGTGAATTATATTGGGGGAAAAGGTGTTTTTGTTTGTTTTAATTTCAGCAATTAATACAGAATAGTGTTTACTTCAGCAGGTAAAAAAGTCAGCTGCTCCTTCCTTTAGCAGGTGATATTAACAGAAGTAATAATGATACACAATAAACACAATACACCTTTCAGAGAGGTATTAATTGTAAGAATGTTACTAGTGCCTAGTTTGTAGTAAAGTTTTCATTGGTTGCATGATAATACAAAGCCTTCCATGTGGCAATTCCAGTCAGTATTGATTTACTTTTATCAGATACCACAGAAATGTTTCTATGCTTTGACAAGCACTCCCTACAGTGCTGACTGACATGTGTGCCTGTTTTATTTTCATAGGTGTTTTCTGTATGCCTTTGTACATCCCTTATGCCCTGACAGGGACGTGGCACTTGGGACAAGGCCTGTGCAAGGTCTGGCTTGTTATGGACTATCTCGTGTGCACAGCTTCAGTGTTTAGCATCGTCCTTATCAGCTACGACCGTTTCCTGTCAGTTACAAAAGCTGTAAGAATAACATTTCTAATTATAGCTTTATATATATTGGAATTTCTATGAAACTCCGAGTATTCACTATTAACACTTGAAGCTAAATAGTCCTTCATTATTGTAGCATTTTTTTCTGAAAAATGATGATTCTTCAGTGTTGCAATGGCACTTAGAGATAGGACATTGCCTTGTCTATAATTTCGATGTTACCCTCCTGCCATCTGCATTAGAATTTATTTAATAACACTACAGAGAAGGTGGGAAGGCCAAGGTAGGAAAGGGACAGCAGGCATGTGGAAAACTTGGGCTTTGGCTGTTAGAAGAGGTGTGATGAAAACTGGATTGAGTCAAGGATATGCTTAGGCTTTATAAGAAGAGGTATGGAGGGAGATGTGGGATGGACTGGGTGAAGATCAGGTGAAGATCTGAATTACCCCAGGGGGTGATTGGCATGCGCTGCCAACAAGCAGTTGAGTGGAAACTAAGCCCTTGAAGCAGAAAGAAGAACGAATCACAATATGTGGAGAGGTAAGAGGTGTTTCTTGAGTGTTGTCATTCTTCTGCTACGGAAGATATCCAAGGTATTCAGTAATAAATATTATCATTCACCATTTCTAAGCTCTATTTGGTGTTTGGTCATAGAATCTTAGAATGGTTTGGATTGGAGGGGACCTTAAAGATAATCTATTCCAATGCTCCTGCCCCGGGCAGGTGCACCTCCCACTAGACCAGGTTGCTCAAAGCCCTATCTGGCCTGGCCTTGAACACTTCCAGGGATCGGGCATCCACAATTTCTCTGGGCAACCTGTTCCAGTGCCTCACCACCCTGACAGCAAAGAATTTCTTCCTAATATCTAACATAAACCTACCCTCTTTCAGTTCCTTCTTGTTCTGTCACTACTTGCCCTTGTACAAAGTCCTTCTCCATCTTTCTTTTTTTTTTTGTTTTAAAGTTGAACAGTAAAGTATGAAAATACCTATATCTAAGATATTAATGAAGTTGCAGAGCTCAAAATGTGAAAAATGTAAATTAAAAGGGCCTCTGCAACCCAACTGAGATCCATGTTCTTATGCAGCTAGTGATGATCTTTGTTTACATGATCACATTCTGGTTTTCTCCTTTAGGTAATTAGAATGGAGTGAGTCCAGGAGTGTGTAACATAGGGCTGCTATCCAAAGAAAAGATACTATGCTTCTTCATAGACTTGGGATCCACTTCTGACTATGCTGCAAACCTGGCTCATGGCCAGGTGCCAGTCATTTTAGACTTAACAGTTTGTGAAGTTGTTCTGAGCTTCCTATTTTCTGTCTCTAAATTGAGATGCTTGTGGTCTTGCAAATTCATTACTGCAGAACTGGAGCTGCTCACTGAGGCAATATGCTGCTTTGAGATGTAGAGGAGTCTGAATCTTCAGGCTACAGTAAAATAAAATATCTACAATAATGTGTATAACAGTGCACTACTGCTCTGTTACTTGCTGGTGAAATAGGGACAATACCCCTTGTGTCATATGAGACTGTGAAGATACTGTACATTAATATTTGTGTAGCATGCAAGTGCTACGCTAATGAATGGCATAGGAAGTGATGAGGAAGATAATAGTTCTGAGGAAAACCTGAGATGTCAAATGTTGAACAGAATGGAGGAAATAAAATTGTCCAGCTTTTCATTAACTAATCTTCTTGTGCTCTGAAAGATGCAGGGGACTGAGACATGGAAGTATGTATTGCACATACTGGCTGGGCTACTACAGGGTGGTTTTAACTCCTGTATTTCCTAACTTTGAATGTCATGATTTTAATTCTTGATATGCTGTCTAGGTAAACATAAAACCATCAAGATTTTCAGTAATGCAATGAGCTTTTAACAGGTAAAGCAAATGTTAAAATAGAATATTTAAATAAAGCATATGTGTGGGATAGATTTTTCTGCTATGGCAGGAGGAAGCAGTATTAAAAATGATGTTATCTAGTGTTTGCAGTCTCACATGGCAACCTATCTAATATAGGAAGCTTCTACTTCTGCTGTGCAGGAAGGAATTCCCACAGCTGCTTTCACACTCTGCTCAGCCTGGGCTAATGAATCATAAACTGATTCCTTACTAATTCCTTTACTAAGCGGTGGCAACAACCTATGTCCTTTCACACCTTGAAGTCAAATTGTACATTAGCCATCATAATTTTTGCTCCTCTCCAATCCCAAGTGTTAAAATAAGTCACAGAGCTACAGTGTATGAAGAACAAGACTAAGAGTTTTTTCAGGACTGTACATAGTGAAGATGTTCTAGGTGTCTGGGGAAATTACAGAACAAATATCATATTTGACTTGCTTCTGGTTTCTTGGAGACAGTTTTTCCAAAATGTTGTCTGAATATGTGATGTCCTTTTCTCTCATAGATATCTTACAGAGCCCAGCAGGGAATAACCTCCAACCCTGCCATCAAGATGGTGGCCATATGGGTCTTAGCCTTTCTCCTCTATTGCCCAGCAATCCTCTTTTGGGAGCACATGGCCGGACACAGCGCAGTAGCGGCAGATCAGTGCTACGCCGAGTTCTTTGACAACTGGTACTTCCTCCTGTGTGCATCCACCCTGGAGTTCTTTGTCCCACTGCTCCTGGTGATCTACTTCAATATGCACATCTTCCACAGCATCCAGAGGCGCCAGAGGCAAGGCAGTGTGCAGGACTGTGAACCTCCAAGGAGCAGCAGCCTGTCCTGGAGATTTTGCCCTTTGCCAAGGTCAGGGGCATCTTCTCCTTCCTCGGAAGCAGAGGACAGTGTTTCATCGCTAACGAGGTCTTGGAGACCAGCAGTGATGGCTAACTGTCCGTCTAGAACAAAAACCAGTCCTACAGCTCTCAAAAAGAACTTTTCTGTTTCTTTCCATTCAAGGACTGGGTCAAAACTGCAGCGGGACAAAAAAATTGCGAAGTCACTTGCCATAATTGTCTGTGTGTTTGCCATTTGCTGGGCCCCATACTCTTTATTAATGATTGTTCGTGGGGCCTGCCAAGGAAAGTGCATCCATAACTCCTTGTATGAAGCAGCCTTTTGGCTTTTATGGATCAATTCCTCTTTGAACCCATTTCTTTACCCTCTCTGTCATATGAGGTTTCGAATGGCTTTCATAAAAATATTGTGTCCCAAAAAGTTTGCAACATTGAGATCAGGTAACACACCTTCTCTTTAGAGAGTTAAAATAAATGTGTTAACAATTAGGTTCCTCTGTTATTTAGTGGTATTTTTTTATATGTATATTCAGCATAAACAGAGAAAAAAACCATTTGTTTACTGCAGCAGAACTATGTATTTGCCCTGATATTGCTAATTTTTAGAATTTTGTTTTTGGTTTTGCTAGAATGGCACCAGATTAATCACCATCTAGTGCATTGAAAAGAATAAAAAATTTTGCCGGATGTCCTCTTGGCTTGTGGGTTTGAGGTAGGGTTTTTTTTCCACTTTTTTCCCCCCTTTGTTTAATGTATAGTGCTGGCACTGTGAAAGAACTCTTTACAGATATCTCTGTAGAAGTTCACTGGAGGGAAATACCAGCTTTTGTACGTGTTGAAGTAAAATTTATGTCCTATTTGTGAACCTAAAGCTCTCAGAGAAGAAACAGTTCTGCTGCATTTTTGAAAGGTTATATAAATACTCACAGAAGCAGTATAATTTCATTTTATAAACTATTATGAATACAAGATAGTGCCCTGTAGTTATTAGAATTCCCACAGTGAGCAATATGCAAGGGAGTGGACTGCCTAATCTACCATATCTGTCCTTTTCTAATTTTAATACAGTTCATGCCTGGTGTTGCAGGACACAGTACATGTAAGTTAGTCATTCTGAATGATTTTCAGAGAATGAAATTTTGCATGGAAATGGAATTTTGAGATTGGTTATCAAAATTGTCGCAGACATAAATGGTTGTTAGTCTTTTCACCCATACTGTCTTTTGTCCTGACACTCTCTTTGGTCATGCTTAAATGATATTTAGTGCCAGATCTGTGCAGTATTTGATGGCCTGAAAGATAGGCCAGGCTTGGGTGCATGATCACATTCCTGTTGAATTAGCAGAGCAAGCAATGCTAAGTTCATGCTGGATTTATCATTTTGGCTGTCTGTGCGAGAATAGACAATAGCCTCTCCAGTGTGAAGCTTTGCAAGTGCAAAGGTATTCCATCAAAATGTCTGGAACAAATTTGATCTGACAGAGTGATTTTTATACTAGATCAGTCTTTGTGCCCTATTACTGTGACATTATATGGATTTTCTCTGCCACAGAACAACTATCAAACTGGATTTTTTTATCAATGAGCGAGGGCTGTATTCAATGCTTGAGAATGGGATTTACAGAGGTCTGAAAGCTGACACAGAGGTGTCTTAAGCAGCTGTTAACAAATAAAGCAGTTGAATGTGCAGTGCTGAAGGAAGTGGGTAGATGTGTTGGAGAAGGCAATGGAGCTTGATTACAACCCATTCCATGTGCCAAACCTTCTTACCTTGTGTTGAGTGTTGCAACTCACCTAGAAGGCTTTCATGGATGGGTAAGTGAGAGTCACTAGTTAAATTTTTTTCTCTCCTTTTATGTAATTTTCTTCCTCTTTGTGTGTGTATATGCATAGATATAAATGTATAAAATATGGGAAGAGAAATCTGATGCACAGAACAATGAAGAGCAGTAATCCATTTAAATAGTTTTTAAATTAATTTGAAAATGGCTGTAGAAGTATTGCAACAGCACAGTACTCCTTTGCAAGCACAATTCAAATGCATATAAGCAGCTTAATCATAGCACAAAAGTTGATGGCTTTGAAGAGCTAAAATGTCATTCTATTCAGAGGTCTGGAACTGAAGACTTCTCTTGATAGTTTTCACACTGGTGGATGATTATCTTTCAACATTCATCCTCTTTATGCTTTCTTGCTTCACATGGATAGTGTTCTGGATTGTGAGCCTGATTTCTAACAGAGATACAGCTTCAGGAGGAGGTCATTGATTCAGCACAGCTGTTTTTACTGTCACGAGCTAAGGTGCTGGCATAAATTTTGTGCAGTTTTTCACAGAATCACAGAATCTTTTCTGTGAGGCTTAAAAAATCCAAACACACACACAGAGTTAAAACATTTATGGAATAGCTGGTGCACTAAGCATCTGTTAAACAGATAAACTGAAGGTAGGCCCAAAATGGGAAAGTATTTGAGTTGCCTGGTTTTCTAGCCCTATGCTTTTAATATAAATATTCTGATTGCATTTTGTAATTAAAGAATGTGTTGCTTGTTTTGGAAAAATTACCTACAAAATTATTGACTAGGTAAACTGAATCCACATTGTGCAGTGCTGGGAAACTAGTTTGTCATGGAGTTTGCCAGGGAGAACAATTTGAAACAACATAAAGTAGGAAAGCTACTGAAGATCAATGTTCTTTAGTTTCTGTATTACACACAGTGTTCAAACTGTTTTGTCCCACCATTCCTGTATACTAGAAGAATTTGTTATATTTTTCTAATTGTTGAAAATTTTGCTTAGTGCTCACAGGGTAGGTCAAGCACTTGGTGGCTTTGCTCACATCATTAAAGCTGTCTTAGTCAAGGTGGCATTGTGAGTCTTCTCCCTATACGATGTTTTCCAGAGTTATGATAAGATACTTACTCAGCATCTGTTCTTATAACCTGACTCAAAGGGGCTTTGTTTGCCAAAGGGTTTTGTAAGCCAAGTCTCTATCCAGTCACTCATTTCACATCCTTGAATTTTCTTCTGTCTTTGCAGATGTCCAATAGACCTTGTAAATACATAGTTACAGTCGGTATATGACTTTGTGAGGTTCAACTCAAAATACAGCAGTGTTTTTCTAAGTTAACCCTCTCAGGTTTTAAAAAACATCTAACAAATAAAACATACACGTTGGAAGAAATTGTGTTATCTTTTAGTTGGTTGTTTTTTTTCTTGAACAGGTATTGAATCTGAAGGATTCTCCTAATGTCTATGTCCTTTATGTTCCAAAGGAAGGACCACATAGATTTCTCCCTCAGCCCCGTGAAGGACTATGATTAAAACTTCAACATTTGATTTATTCTCTAATTTAAAAAGCAGATGACTAGTCTCCCCTTGTCCACTAATCTAGTAATTTTGTCAAAGAAGACCACCAAGTTGCTCAGGCATGATTTACACTTGGTAAGTCCATGCTGACTGTTTCCAGTCATCTTTTTATCTCCCAGGTTCTCAGAAACACCTTCCAAGAGGACTCGCTCCGTTATTTTCCTAGGGAATAAAGAGAATCTGACCTTTTGTCCTTGTGACAGCATTTGAAGATGGTTGCAACATTTGTCTTTCTTCAGTTGTTGGGAATTTCCCTTCATCTCCATGACCATTCAAAGGGGATAGAAAGTGGCCTTGCAAGGGTGGTAGCTGGTTCTCTTGTCAGCCTTGAGTGTAGCCCATTGGGTCCAGAGAGGAGCATAAGGGTGGAAATCCCAAGTTAAGAGTGAAATCAGCAGCCCAGCTGAAGTGCATGTACACCAATGGACACAGCATAGGTAACAAACAAGAGGAGCTGGAAGCAATCGTGAAGCAGGAAAGCTATGATATAGTTGCCATCATGGAAATGTGGTGGGATGACTTGCATGACTGGAGCGCTGCCATGGATGGCTACAAGCTCTTCAGAAGGGACAGACAAGGTAGGAGAGGTGGAGAGGTGGCTCTATACGTTAGAGTCTCTTGACTCTGTGTAACTTGAAGTCAGTAACAATAAGGTTGAGTACCTGTGGATCAAAATCAGGGGGAAGGCCAACAAGGCTGACATCCTGGTGGGAGTCTGTTACAGACCACCCAACCAGGATGATAAGGGTGATGAATTATTCTACAAGCAGCTGGTGGATGTCTCAAAATCACCAGCCTTGTTCTCATGGGTGACTTTAACCAGCTAGATGTCTACTGGGAACTCCAGACAGCGGAGAAGAGGCAGTCTAGGAGATTCCTAGAGTGTACAGAGGATAATTTCCTGCTCCAGCTGGTAAATGAGCCTACCATGGATGGGGCCCCACTAGACCTGGTGGGAGATGTGGTGGTTGGAGGCCATCTGGGGCACAGTGACCATGAAATTATAATAGAGTTTTCAATACTCAGGGATGCAAGGAGGGCCATCAATAAAACCTCTATGCTGAACTTCCACAGGGCAGATTTCGGCCTATTCAGAAGACTAGTTCAGAGAGTATCTTGGGAAACAGCCCTGGAAAACAAAGGGGTCCAGGAGGGATGGACATGCTTTAATAAGGAAGTCTTGAAAGCACAGGAGCAGGCTGTCTCAGTGTGCCAAAAGGCAAGCCGGCGGGGAAGACGACCGGCCTGGCTGAACAGGGAGATTTTGAAGGAAATGAGGGTAAAGAAGAGAGCCTACCAATTATGGAAAAAAAGGCTGGCTACTTGGGAAGAGTTTAGGAATATAGTTAGGTCATGTAGAAAGAAAATTAGAGAGATGAAGGCACAACTTGAACTTAATTTCACCACTTCTGTGAAGGATAACAAAAAGTCCTTCTACAGATACATCAATAGCAAAAGGAGGGGCAAGGAAAACCTCCATTCTTTATTGGACATGGGCAGGAATATAGTTATCAAAGATGAGGAAAAGGCTGAGGTATTTAACACCTTCTTTACCTCCATTTTCAACAGTAAGACAGGTTGTCCTGAGGACAGCTGGCTTCTGGAGCTTGTAGAAAGGGATAAGAATCTGAATAGCCCCCTGTAATCCAGGAGGAAACAGTTTGCAACCTGCTGAGCCACTTGGATCCCCACAAGTCTATGGGACCAGATGGGATTCACCCATGGGTGATGAGGGAGCTGGCAGAAGAGCTCACCAAACCGCTCTCCATCATCTACCAACAGTCCTGGCTCACTGGGGAGGTCCCAGATGATTGGAAGTTGGCAAATGTCAAGCCCATCCACAAAAAGGGCTGGAAGGAGGACCCAGGAAACTACAGGCCCGTCAGCCTGACCTCAGTGCCTGGCAAGGTTATGGAGCAGATCATCCTAAGTGCAATCACACAGCACCTACAGGATGGACAAGGGATCAGACCCAGCTAGCACAGATTTAGGAAGGGCAGGTCCTGTCTGACCAACCTGATCTCCTTTTATGATCAGGTCACCTACCTGGTGGATGAGGGGAAGGCTGTGGATGTGGTCTATCTGGACTTCAGCAAAGCCTTTGACATCATCTCCCACAGCATACTCCTGAAAAAACTGGCAGCCCATGGCTTGGACAGGGGCACTCTGTGCTGGGTTAGGAACTGGCTGGAGGGCCGGGCCCAGAGAGAGGTGGTGAATGGGGCTGCATCCAGTTGGCAGCCGGTCACTGGTGGTGTCCTCCAGGGATCACTGTTGGGCCCAGTTCTGTTTAATACCTTTATTGATGATTTAGATGAGGGGATTGAGTCCACCATCATCAAATTTCCAGATGACACCAAGTTGGGGGAGTGTCAATCAGCTGGAAGGCAGGAGGGCTCTGCAGAGGGACCTGGACAGGCTGGAGAGTTGAGCTGATTCCAACGGGATGAGGTTCAACAAGGCCAAGTGCCAGGTCCTGCACTTTGGCCACAACAACCCCCTGCAGCACTACAGGCTGGGGGCAGAGTGGCTGGAGAGCAGCCAGACAGAGGGACCTGGGAGTTTGGATTGACAGGAAGCTGAACATGAGCCAGCAGTGTGCCCAGGTGACCAAGAAGGACAATGGCATCCTGGCCTGGATCAGGAACAGTGTGGCCAACAGGACCAGGGAAGTGA